TAAATACATTTTTTTTTGAAAAATCCTGTCCCTTCATCAACAGTTCAAAGATGGAATAACACAAGATATGATGAAATACATCCATTTATTTACATGATTTTTGTGTCTTTGAAATTTGGGAAATAATTTTTGTTCCATGTTTCATACATGGTCTGTTTAAAACATATGGAACTTTAGAACCAAAAATGGAACAGAAAAAAGGTCAACAGTTTCATAAACTAGAGTAAATATGTATCTGTTCAATACATTTTTATATCAGATGCATTAACTTGAAGTTTTGGCCTTGATGTTTACTTCTGCTTGACCGGACCCTTATATTTTATCACACGGCGATAAATTGTTTGACTGTGCTGACATAAATTCTGTCCATATATTCGCCGTGTCGTTTTATTCACCTTGGGGTTCAAAGTGTGTGAAAAAAGTCATGCCTTATAGTCCAGAATTTACGGTATATGAAATGTGTTCTGGTGTTTTATCCTCTTCCTCTTCGTCTGGTGTTTTCAGGCACGTGCAGGCCGTGTTTGGTGGACATCATCCCGGTGAAGAACGAGGACGGCGTGGTCATCATGTTCATCCTGGACTTTCAGGAGCTGCTCGACCGGAACCTGAAGAAGAGCGGCCTGAGACAGAGAGTGGAGCAGGGCTGGTTATACTGTGAGTAAAAAAAAAAACCTGATGTCCTCCCCCGTCTTGACAGACAGTTTAACCCTGATGCCCTCCCTGTGCCTCAGGTCGCAGTCGGAGGTTGAAGTTGCGGTTCCCGGTGCTGAGGTCCATGAGGAGGTCCAGTCTGTCCAAGGAGCAGTTTGAGGGCGTCGTGGTCGATTACCTCACCGTAAGAAACAACACTCTAAAACAACACTAACACGACAAAACAACACTACAAAACAACACTAACACCACAAAACGACACTAACACGACAAAACAACAACTAAACAAACAAAACACGACACTAAACACACAAACACAAACACTGACACACTAAACACAAAACAACACAACACACAAAAACAACACTAAACACAAAACAACACTAACACACAAAACAACACTAACACGACAAAACGACACTAACACTCAAAACAACACTAACACTGACAAACACACAACAACTGTAAAACAACACTAACACAACAAAACAACACTAACACCACAAAACAACACTAACACCCCAAAACAACACTAACACCACAAAACAACACTAACACTGTAAAAACAACACTAACACTAAACAACACTAACACTGTAAAACAACACTAACATGACAAAAAGACACTAACACCACAAAACGACACTAACACCACAAAACAACACTAACAAAAAAAACACTAACACTAAAACAACACTAACACAACAAACAACACTAAACACAAAACAACACTAACACACAAAACAAACTAACACACAAAAACAACACTAAAACAACACTAACACAACACTAACACACAAAACAACACTAACACCACAAAACAACACTCTAACACACTAAACAACACTAAACACTAAACACACACACAAACACAAACACTAAAACACACTACTAACACTCTAAAACAACACTAACACTCTAAAACAACACTAACTCAAACCTCACCGTAAGAGACGACACTCACACTAGGACTTTAGAACCGTGTCAGGCTCAAACATGACTGTTGTGGTTCTATGTTCTGCACTCAGACCTGCACAACTGAACCAAACCACGGCCCGATGACGTCATCACACGCCGCTGTTTGTTTACATGCGCTAACAGTTTTAGAAGAGAAAATATTTATTAGCGGCAGAAATATTTATTAAATAGTGAGGCTGATGTACGTCCTTTTATGATCCGCTCCTCTGTGAGTTTATGGAGATAAAAACAGGAGGAGCAGTGATGACAGACGGAGACGAGACGCAGATAAACTTCTGTTTGTCCTTATTGAAGGTGAGCGCAGGTTTACTGTGTGTTTTGAGCAGATTTTATTCACTGTTTTCCTCATATGAGTACATCACACACGCACACACACGCACACACACACACACACACACACACACGCACACACACACACACACGCACACACACACACACACACACACACACACACACACACACACACACACACACACACACGCACACACACACCACACACACGCACGCACACACACACACACACACACACACACACACACACACACACACACACACACACACACACACGCACACACACATACACACCCACATGCACCCACACACACAGGGCTCGTATAGTAAAGTTGTATGTGCCCGTACATGAGCTCCATGTCGTGCTTTGGCCCATCTCCTCCAATCGGACCAAAGTCCCATCCATGCCGCGCCTGAGCACAGTTTGACTGCGCTCACTCTGGACAAACGTACCAACGCTTTAGGGACGATCTGTGTTTGGGCACAGTTCAAAAATCCTAGTATGAGTTCACTGTAAACGACACACTGCAAAAACACAACACTGTTAAACACTGACATTAACACTGTAAAACACAAAACTGTAAAACGACATTAACACTGTACAAACACTGTAAAACAACATTAACACTGTAAACAACATTAACACTGTAAACAACATTAACACTGTAAACAACATTAACACTGTAAACATTAACACTTTAACACTGTTAAAACAACATTAACACTGTAAAACAACATTAAACACTGTAAAACAAACACTAACACTGTAAACAACATTAACACTGTAAAAGACACTAACACTGTAAAACAACATTAACACTGTAAAACGACATTAACACTGTAAAACGACACTAACACTGTAAAATGACACTAACACTGTAAAAAGACATTAACACTGTAAACAACATTAACACTGTAAAACGACACTAACACTGTAAAACGACACTAACACTGTAAAACGACACTAACACTGTAAAACGACACTAACACTGCAAAACGACACTAAAACGACACTAACACTAACACTGTAAAACTGACACTAACACTGTAAACGACACTAACACGCAAAAACACTAACACTGTAAAAAGACACTAACACTAAACGTAAAAACGACACTAACACTGACACTAAAACGACACTAACACTGTAACACAAAACGACACTAACACTGTAAAACGACACTAACACTGTAAANAATCTCCGGGCTCCAGATTCCAACTTTATTTGGATGAAAATGTTTTTAAAAAGTTTCCACGTCCGACAGAAAGAATCATTTGACTGATCGAACTCTCCAATCATGTCAAGTGTGTGTGTGTGTGTGTCTGCGTGTGTGTGTGTGTGTGTGTGTGACAGTGTGCGTCGTGTTGTGCGTTTGTGTGTGTTGTTTTCATTAGGTCTGTGGCTCTGGTCCAGGCCTCTGCTCCACTCGACCGTGTGTGTGTGTGTGTGTGTGTGTTGTACGTGTGTGTGTTGTCCTTGTGTGTGTTGTACATGTGTGTGTGTGTGTGTGTGTGTGTGTGTTGTCCATGTGTTTGTTGTACATGTGTGTGTGTTGTACATGTGTGTGTTGTACATTTGTGTGTTGTGTGTGTGTGTGTGTGTGTGTTGTCCTTGTGTGTGTTGTACATGTGTGTGTGTGTGTTTGTGTGTGTGTTTGTGTGTGTTGTCCATGTGTTTGTTGTACGTGTGTGTGTTGTACATGTGTGTTAGTGTCTGCGGGTGTGCGTGTGTTATAGTGTGTGTGTGTGTGTGTGTGTGTGTGTATAGTGTGCATTCGTGTGTGTGTTTGTGTGTGTTGTCCGTATGTTTGTTGTACGTGTGTGTTAGTGTCTGTGTGTGTGTTGTGTGTGTTGTCCTTGTGTGTGTTGTACATGTGTGTTAGTGTCTGCGTGTGTGTGTGTGTGTGTGTTGTACGTGTGTGTTGTACATGTGTGTTAGTGTCATCATGTGTGTGTGTGTGTGTGTGTGTGTGTGTGTGTGTGTGTGTGTTGTAGCGTGTGTGTTGTACATGTGTGTTAGTGTCTGTGTGTGTGTGTGTGTGTGTGTGTTGTCATGTGTGTGTGTGTGTGTTTGTGTGTGTGCAGTTGTGTAATTGTGTTTTGTAGTCAGTAGAACTCAGTGTTGGAGTGTGTGTGTATCTGTTTGTGTGTATGTCTGTGTGTGTGTGTATGTGTGTGTATGTCTGTGTGTGTGTGTGTGTGTGTGTGTGTGTTGTGTGTTGTGTTGTACGTGTGTGTGTGTGTTCTTTTCATTAGGTCTGTGGCTCTGATCCAAGCCTCTGCTCCACTGTTTGGTGTATGTGTTATAGTGTGTGTGTGTGTGTGTGTGTGTGTGTGTGTGTGCGTGTTGTGTGATTGTGTTTTGTAGTCAGCGGGACTCAGTGTGCGGTAGCGCGTGTCTGTGTACCTGTTTGTGCTTTTATATGTGTGTGTCTTAGTGTGTGTGTGTGTTGTTTGTGTGTTACAGTGTGCATTTGCATGTGTGTGTGCAGTTGTGCGATTGTGTTTTGTAGTCGGCAGGACTCAGAGTGTTTGATTGTGTGTATGTGTGTGTGTTTGTGCTTTGTATGTGTGTGTGCGTTGTATGTTTGTCTGTGTGTGTATGTGTGTGTGTGTGTGTGTGTTGTGTGTGTGTGTGTGTGTGTCCAGGCGTCTGCTGTGAAAGTCTGATTACGAGCCTCGTGTTTTCAGAGTCAGATTTAAACAGTGACGCAGCATCAGGTTTATTTTAGTGTTTTATGTTTTACTCGAGTTTTTTTTTCCTGCTCCATCGACGCTTCAACTTTTCATTTTGTGTTTTTACTGTTTAAATGTTGTTTTTTTTTTAAATAATAGTACATTGTTTATTTCATATCCTGTATTAGTTTCTTCCAGTTGTAAAATCTGTCCATCTGTAAAATTATAATAAATCAAATCTAAATCGTATGCTAACTAGCTCACTGTGCCCCAAACCTAACAGTTATTTTTATTCAATCATAAAACAAAACAAACAAAGCCAAAATCATAAAACAAACCACACAAAGCCTATTAAATTCAAATTAATTAAAGTAAAAACCGCCCAGTTGTTTTTATGTGTACAATATTTCAGTTTGTGGCGTTGTTTTAATGTTTATTATCAACTCAACATTAGCGTTAGCATTAGCGTTAGCATTGAAACACAAACTCCTCTCTTTCTAAACACAAAAGTCGCGTTCACTCAAGTATTTATTTTATTTTATTTTAAACATACAGACCTCAGACCTCAGACCCTCAGACCTCAGACCTCAGACCTCAGACCTCAGACCTCAGACCCTCAGACCCTCAGACCTCAGACCTCAGACCTCAGACCCTCAGACCTCAGACCCTCAGACCTCAGACCCTCAGACCCTCAGACCTCAGACCCAGACCTCAGACCTCAGACCCTCAGACCCTCAGACCCTCAGACCCTCAGACCTCAGACCTCAGACCCTCAGACCCTCAGACCTCAGACCCTCAGACCCTCAGACCTCAGACCTCAGACCTCAGACCTCAGACCCTCAGACCTCAGACCCTCAGACCCTCAGACCTCAGACCCTCAGACCCTCAGACCCTCAGACCCTCAGACCCTCAGACCCTCAGACCCAGACCTCAGACCTCAGACCTCAGACCTCAGACCTCAGACCCTCAGACCCTCAGACCCTCAGACCCTCAGACCTCAGACCCTCAGACCCTCAGACCTCAGACCTCAGACCCTCAGACCCTCAGACCCTCAGACCT